AAATAGGTCAGCAATCCTGCCCAGGTTGACTGGTGCTCTGGCCTTGACAATTGAGGTTCGTCACATATCGGATATCTATGCTGGGGCACCGATGGGATTTTCACTCCAGTATTCATGGCAGATTACAATGTTCCACTGGATTTCCCAATAATTATCTATTGTGCATAAACAAGATTTCTTTGTGGTAAAGTAGGTTGTGATCCAAAGAAGGCAGGTGCAAGTAATTTACAAACAAATGAAGCACCTCCCACCTGCCTGTTCCCATGATGCCATGGTGTAGGTTACTAAAGGTCACCAGGCATGCAGGGAGAGATGTCCTAGTTTAGACACACACCCTGGCCGAAGTGGGACGTTCTAGTTTCTGCTGGTAAAAAGGTGTTGACTGTCAGCTGTAGTGAGTTCCTGTGTGTAGAGTCCCATGGAGACATATCTTGGTGTCAGACAGAGTAATCCTGCAGTGTGACAGCTTGGGCTATATTTTTACGGGACTTCAAGAGCTGCGGCTGGTGTTCAATGAAGTCTCAAGGACATATGTGGTTGCAGGAGCCTGATCAACTTGATCCTTCCTCAGCCATGTATCCACAGTCCCACCACATGTGTTCTTGTTGCTTAAAAAGGTGGGTGTGAAAACCTTTATTTTTGTTCCTGTCTTACCCTTTATGCCCCTACAAAGCTGAATGTTTGGTTGATTGTGACGTATTTGTCATAACGTTTGGTGCGAGAATTCTGGAGATGTCTGAAATGTGGGTTAAAGATTAATACTATGATTTGCATTTTTTTTTGTTTTTTTTTTGCTTCTTTATTTGTATTCATTAATGAATTGTAAGATGTCGAGTAGCATCAATACCACAGGTAGGTATGATGTTACTGGTGATGATTGTTTGGTAGGAACCCTTAAAGTAGGCCATTGGCCTTCTATAACCTCCCCAAACATGCCCTTTCAGGGGGAAGAATATAATCCCGGGGGTTGTTAATGATGTTTTCTTTCCGATGGGGAAGTGTTTTTTTTTTGACAATGACTGATAGTTGTGAATGCGTCCATACATCAGACCGGATACTTTTGTTGGCAAAATAGCAAAACATTGTGGTAGACATTCTGTGTATTTGTGAAGTGTTAACTGAAGTGGAGATTTGTGTATCCAGCCAACCAAGAGGGCCTCTACCTAATATATTATTTGTATTTCTAGGTTAAGGGCCATTTTTAATAGGATTAGTGCACATTCTTTTATTGCATTAGTGCCATTTAGTGGCCTCCCATGAAATAAATGTGGCCTGTCAACAGTAATGTCTCTTTTAGTTTGTTTGGGGTTAGAAAATCTTCATGAAAGATGAAGGCAAATCTGCATCTGATGCTATATTGAAAAGCAAAGTACAATTATATCTGAAACCAAAATATGGATTTGTACTAAATTGCAGGCTGTTTGAACTTTATTTGAGGTTAGAACTAAGCAAATGATAAACGCGCCATGTTTTACTTTAGAATTCACTGGCTAATGTGAAGAATACCATATCTTGATTGGAAGTGGAAAGGAGGAAAAGAGAAATAAAAAGGAGGAAGGGAAATGGCAGATTTGTTGTATCCTTTATTATGTTCTGGACTTCATTGGTCAAATATGATAAAACAACATGAAGTACTTAATGAGTAAAATCATTTACTATTATTAATAAAAAGTCCATGACCAAATTTAAAAAAAAGGTTTTGTTGCTGAACAAAGACCAATCCGGAAAGGTATCCTGCCAATAATTCATTATGTTAACACTAAAAAGGAAAGTCCTATAAAAACCATATCTCTGTACATATTCTGATATTCCAGGTAATATACACCTGGGTGTCCTTTTAACTTTTGATTTGTTTCAAAGCTAGTATTAGTCAGAATGTCATGAGTACTAGCCAGAGTCAGATGTTTTTCAGTTTTTGCTGTCAATCACAGACGTTCCCTTTATATCATCTGTAGACTCTTCATGGTGTGGTTCCTCAGTTTGTTGCTTCACTTTAATTGTTAGTTTGGAAAAAAGCAATGCCCAGAACTATTTTGACAAGATCCTCCTTTTTCATTACTGACATTTTTGCTGAAGCACATTTTCATGTAATTAATTTGCTGGTGCATATTGCTTATAATGGTTGTTTTGAATTCTAGTCACCTGCTGTTTACTTCTTATCAAACCTTTCCATAACTCAAGGCCCTTAATTACAATTTGATGAGTTTATTGTGCGCTTACATTACCCTGTTGGTGGTGCTATTGGTTGTGAATTGCTATTCAAGTGTGTCATGAATTGTAAGTAGGCTAGCAACCTCAGTGCTGTAGGCAAACATTCTGCCAAAGCTTTCACTAGTGGCTTGAATTAGGAATGTACAGAGATGAAGGAAGGCTGGAGTGTTGATAGCAGAAGCTGACATTCTGTTTGAGCTTTGATTGCTTGCATGAGAGCTTGGGGCCACATGTACAATCAACAGACTACAGAAGATACAACTACATGCACACCCGTGTAATCAACTGCAGAATAGGCTGGGACTTTTAGTGGGTTAACAAGGAGAACCGGTTTACCAGTCTGCATGGTGTGATCAAAGGTATTCTGAGGTTGAGCAACATCTACTCTGAAGGATGTTCACCCTTTGTGAGCATGATCACAGGCTTGACTGAGTATTTTCTATTAGGATTACAAAGGATGTTATGCCTTTATGAACATGATTCTAACATCCCCCACAGTAACTGGCCTTGATGGGAGTGGTATTATTTCAGCACCATGGACAGATCCAGTTGTGGCTTAGTCCAACTGAAAGCAAAATGGAATTTTTTTTTCACACGACAAAAGATGTTATAAATTTGCCATTGAAATGTCTTCCACCAGCCATATGTTAGGCTGCCAATTGATAAGCAAACTTAAAGTTTGGTGAGATACTATAGAATTGGTTTCCCTAGTGGAAAAGGATCAGGTACGATGCAGCTCATTTTCTTGCCTGTATCAATGCTTTTTAATTATGACACATTAGGTAGAAAATATATCTGATTCTCAGCTGGCAGGAATGAAAGCTTCCTGGGCAGGAATTGTTATATCTTTTGTTGAGTCCCTTGGCACATGTATCCATGCTGCATGTAATGTAATTACCTGTAACTCCTGCTGGGTCCAGGCTGGTAAGAGCTGAACCTCAGGGAGCCAGGGCTTATCTACTGTATCTGTACAGCTGCCCTTCAGCGTAACACACCAGCTTCACAGGCACACAGCATCTTAACACTTAACACTCCCAGGGTAGACGGCCATGCCAACCACAGTGTGCTTCTCCTAGTTCAGCATGAATGAATCAAGGATTTTAGGCATGTTTTATAACTGATTAGATGTCCCTAAGTGCCTAAAACATTCATGTCACAGACTAGAGGATACACACCACAGGCTTATTCCAATGTGCAACTTGTCAAACATGTTTAGTTCTTACCAAACAGCCATGGACAAGTATGCAAAATGGCTCCTGTTACAGGTAGATTAACCAACTATACAAATATTTCAGCAATTTTTCTGGTCTGCTAAGTTCTCCCTGTAATTCAGTATATTGGAAACCTAGTGATAAGGAATACAGTAAAATGTAGAATGTTGGCAGTGGTTTTATGTTTGTAGTTTTTGCTATAAACTCTCTACCACAAAGTCATCATAGTGAAAAGAATACAGATTTGTTTCTAGTACACTCTGTGTGCCACAGTGCAAATGCCTCTTTTTACCCACACTGGTAAGTTATGTTCCTTGAAGTTGGCATGTGAATTGATATATGGTAGGTTGGTACTGGTTTGGCAGCCAGTACATGTTCTCACCAGACAAATAGTCAGGGTTAGATGTGGATTGAGCAGATCAAATAGTACGATCTTCCAACAGAGGATGCCCTCCCTCTCCCTTTGTTGTTTGACTGATTGATGACTATGAAACAGGAAGGATGACTTGGTCTGTATGTTACAGTAGATGACAACAGTCTTGATGTTATTTGTTGACTGATGTAGTGATTATTTATCATACATCATTCGACAACTTCAAATGTGTCCACTTCAATATGAAAGCACATGGATTCTTTATTATCAAGCAGAAAAACATTATTGTGGCAGCTTTGTTGGAGTACCAATTTGGACATGAAATATTGTTTTTAATAACCCATTAGATTAGGGTCTATTGGCTCTTTGTCTTGATTTAGAGGCCATCATCTATGAGGAATCATCTGTTCCATCTTAGGAAATTCAGGTCACTGATCCATCAGGCTATACTTTTGACATTCTATGTGTGGCTTTTAGTAGAAAACAGTCCGTGATGTATTTCCCTGTGATCTCTTTCTGGAAATGATTATGCTTTCTGCAGTGACAAGCAACCATTTCCGGGGAGTGTGGGTTTTGTAATTCTGTGAAGCTACTTAGTGTGGCTGGTGAATGGAACACTAATCGATCAGCAGAAACCACCGCCCTAAGTCAAACCTTCTTCCCAGACCATTCAGTATTCCATGTAGCGCCATGTATGCTTCAGGCTACAAGACATTATCTGTAAAAAGTACATTACTGTTAGGAGCTATGAGGTATGAGAAACTCAGCAGCATGTCATCCACAACAATTATCAAATAGAAGCTAAGTGCTTTCCTTCCTCAGTAAATATTGAACAAGGAGCGTCATGCTAGTACTGGTAATATGATTTGCATGCATTTCACCTAAAACATCCCCAAGCAAAAGTGAGAAAAGTTTGGGTATACTAATTATATGACAACCTATTTTTTCTTTTATAGGAGATTAATACCATTGCTATTTACAAAATCTGATAATTTTTTTAGCTATTTTATTATTGTTACCAACAAAGGTAGACATGACTGACATGGAGAGTTATGCACAGTGTTGATGTAGACTTGGGTTTACTTTAATTTGATGTCTTGTAGATACAGTTTTCTTTGTGAAGATCTGAATCTGTGTGCACAAAATTGGATGTATTTTGTTCTGTTCTTCCATTACACTGATTGGTAACTTTCTGTTTGCTGTAGGGCAGAGAAGTCGCGCTTCGCAGCGAAGGCCCGGCGTGACCAGGAGGGGGAGGAGATCCAGGCGCTGGCCCAGCAGCTGCCGTTCCACAAGGAGACCATCCAGCACCTGGACAAGGCCTCTGTCCTCAGGCTGGCCACCAGCTACCTGCGGGTGAAGCAGCATACACGAGAAGGTAAGCCTTAGAGTAGTCTCAATATTAGAGGGAGGTGACTGGACTTACTGTAAAAAGTGTTGAAGTGATAAAAGTTTTTTTCATTGGCTGAGTTTCATTGTGAATCACTTTTGTTTAGTCTCAGTGATACAGGTGTACAATTTTTAAGGTGGCCGAGGTAAATCATTTTGTTTCTGCTATCTTTTGTAACTGCAGGACAGAAACAGTTTATGGAGGAATTGGGAGGCTATCGTGACAATGATCCAGCCTATCAGAGTAAGATTTTCATTGGTTATTCATATACCTTATAATTTAGAACACATTGTAAATAGTAATAACTGAGCCGAGGTGAACCGAGGTGGTCCGATCGAGCTAACAACAGACACTTACAATATTCACGATTCCAAAAGTGTGAACAGAATTCAGCTGTTGTGGGACAAAGAAGTATAAAAGATTAGCTACAATACACATTAAGCCTAAAATAAGTTGTTTTTCACGAGATGAATGAATCTTTATTCAACTTGCAGACTTACAATTTCCTGAATTGTGTTGAATTTACGTATAAAGTATAAAATAAAATATTAAGTATGAAAAGCATTAACAATTATTTACATGAAAATACGTTTATCATAAAATGTTCTGGAATCATTTGTACTGGTCGAAATTGATGCATTCATATACATATAAAATGACTACATAAATACATTGCGACAGTTTAACAGGTCCTTGTTGCTCACAGATGCTATTGCCACCCTGGAGGACATCCAAGAAGGTGACCTCATGTTGGAGGTAAGGCACAGGTTAACTCTACCTTCCCACAGTATTAGGTGTCACCTGTTTCCCCAACTCCTGATGAGTACATTCAGTCCAGATTAGGTCTGTAAATTTATATTGTATGTATGTGACTGTAAGGTGCTCCTCCTCACCATTCAACATTTCTGGTTGCCTCAGCTAGTAGCAGGTGTCATGATGTATTCTTCCTCCAACTGGGCCAGAGCAGGATTGATTTTTTCATTACCACTTAAATGCAGACTTCAGCAAAATGCCACGTCAGAAGTGGGAGCAATGAGTAGGCCCATGAAATAACTCATTTTGTTGTAACCCTCCCAACTCCGGCCTTTGATTAGACGTTATAATGCCCATTATCATTGCATCCTGCCATTAAGATGGGTTTTTACACTGAAGTACATTTAGCAGTAGACTTACGAAATGCACTTCATGGTAAGTGAAATCTTATATAAGATTCAGTAGTTAACCCTATAAAAGTTGCAGTATTTTATATTGCACCAGTAAAGCTTCATCCATAAATACAACAGTCAAAATTGTCTAATTTTAACTATAAAAGATTCACATTGTACCCAGCAGTGTCATGTATTAGTTTGTACTGATATCTCCCTTGAGGTGGCCCCTCAGAAATACAATCTTTTCAGAAATACCCATTACAAGACATGTTTCTCCTTGAGGTCTCTTCTGAGAAATACCTACTTGTGGTACTCTCCTCAAAAATGACCTTTTCAAACATACCCATCTGCAGTTACATATACATGTGTATCAAATTTGACCTTTCCAAAAAGTGAAAACTCTGTTTTTGCCAGTGTGTACTGGATATCAAAGAAAATGTGTACAATGTACTTGATGACAAGTGTCTTCTTCTGTTGGTTGTTAACTGCAGGCAACTGAATTTTGTGTAAATGTGGCATTTACCAGAGTTGCAGTGTCAGCAAAGCATTGACTGAAAATTGCTACATTTTTGTAACCATATTGGTCAGCTTTTACATCCTTGTATTAAGTTGCACCATTTTTCAGCTTGTATCATTTTGGCTATTATGGACAACAAACCATTTTTTAAAGATTGTTTTATACAGTCATACTCATAGATTCAAAACTTTTGAAATTTTTAAGGGCATCTAATTGTGGCATTTCTGTAGATTTCACTCTGATTATACACGTAAAAGTAAAGCTGAAGGAGTAATGTAAAGTTGCATTTAAAATGGGTTACTTGAAAGAATGGAGTCAATGTTTCAACACCAAATTGTTCTCAGTGTGTGGCAGCCATAATGTGAAGGTTATTCTAGAGGCCGAGCAGGACCACTAGTACTGGGTAACCTAGCCGTTTCACCATTGCCTTGGGGCCAGCAACTTGGGACGTTCTTGTGTAGGTGTTAACATACACAATGTATTAATTTGTACAGAAAACTGAAGTAAGTAATTTGTTAACTGGTATACTTGTTTCCCGTCTTTAGGATAAGCATTGGTTTTCCAGCTTTGAATTGGTATAGCTGTCCTAATATAAAATGTCTCCATCCACCACTCATTAGTAGTACATGTGTCAGACGTGTAGACTTGTGATGCTGAATAGTAATAGAAAATACATCATGCCATTAGGGGAGGAACGATGACTTCAATTCAGTATGAGTACGGATTCAGCTTGAATGTGATGGTTTAATGGAAATATTGTCAACTCCATGTTCCAACATGTAGGTCAAGGCTAGCCTAAATAGGACAAGCATTGACTGTTAATAAAGGTCAGCCTCACGGGCCTGGTCTGCTTCAATTTGTATTTGTCCATTGGGGATGGTGAAAGAGGTGGAAAATATCCTTTTTTGGTGTTCTACTCAGACAAGGGAACATGGGAACATTATGCTTAGGTACTGCCAGTGAATATTGATGCGTGAGAGTATGATGCATACCTTTAAGGTTACACAGAAGCTTTAGGAATTTCAGGGATTAGCTGAGATGTCAGCAACTAATGTTTATTGTGTACATTTCTAAGAGGTAAAGGTAACTAATTATGAAATGTACTTATAAAGGGCATAATTTGACATTATGAAAGGTTGTTGCAGACTCCGCAATAATGAGCTTTTGCAATAGATTTGTGTGTTGTGGCCAAAGGCATTTGTTAGCCATATAACAGTATGATTAAGTACATCTAAATTTCTTTCTAATCACAAGGACCTTAATTACCAAAATCCTATCCAGGCCAGTCATGTCAGGTGCTTCTTATGCCATGAACTGTGCAATTAGCCATTGGCAAAAATATCTGGGGCCCCTCCTTGTATTTTAACTGTTGACCCACACGTAAAATTGCGTGCAAAAAAATTAATTATACTTTATAGTGACTTCAAATTTGGTTCTTTATATCAAATAGTTATGCCCCGAATCATGATTCAATGCCCCTTTACATTTCCAGTGAGGCTCACAACTTTTTGATTTACCCTCTCACGTACCTAGACATGTGACGTGACCTCATACATCTTACAGCAATGCAGATTCCTCTGACTTATTCTCCAATCCAGAGATCAGATGTTTGAATACTTCCAGTAAGGACAATATACATAAAACATTCAGGTTCTCTCATGCATACATTCTTTTATCCTTGCCACTCGTAAAATTAACCTGTCAAATCTGTATACCTTAAGTGGGTGGAACAGTTTATCGTACAGTCAGGTGAACAGCTCAGCGAGCATGAACCATCTTCCAGTTTAACCTGTTTGGATCTCATATTAGATTTCAAAATGTTAAATACCCATCCCAGTGTAAAGAGCCATTTGTAAGGGAAAGTATAGACTGAGGTACTTCTTCGGTCTTTTCCTTGGGCTTTTCCACAGTTCAGCTGAGGTACTAGCTAAGTCAAAATAAACATGTGGAAGCTCATGCAAGTACAACATGTCAGTAGATAGATGAGCCAGGGGCTGGGTCAAGGTAAAAGTTCTGCAGGTCTTGATCCACAGCTAAACATGACCAAGTATGCCATTACAGAAATTGAGAGGCTGATCAGTTATTCATGCCAGTCATCTACCAGCTGTCCAGAATGTTGATGTAGGCTTGAACCCAAGGGTTAAATGTAAATAGTGGTTAAGGATATTAACGTGACTGTCGTGGTCACTGCAGAAGAAATCAAAGACAAATGAAAAAGTTATGATTGAAAATATCTTTGAGAACCATTTGGCTGTCACCCACGTACAGGCCGCCCAGCAGACTTCTTCAGATGTCATATGGTTAGTGACATATCAAAGGGATGGTATTTCCCTCGTCAGATGTTTGGCTGATCAAAACCCCATCATAAACAGGTTGAAAGTGTTTTAGCTGTCTGCAAAATGTGGAACATGTTTTCAAGGAAATGGACAAATATGCAATTTTATGCACATTTTGTAACTTTGATTTAAGTGACTTTTCATGGATATATAGTAGTCAGGAAGAGCTGACTGTATTAACAGGTTGTCCCGTATGCCTGATGACTGTGTAACTGCTACAATCAGAACTACTGTATAGCTCAATAAAGATTTACCTTCCTATGAACAACATCAGTGACTCATGTAACAACCTAACTTATAAAAAACCCAAGGGCCTAGGCCTCTTTGATGACTTTCAGCCAAGTGAGACACTGATCATTCATGCATGCAGCAAAACATCCTATACCTACAGAGGCCATTTGAGCAGATCTAAGTGTGGGGTTAAGACAGGTTACTGGCAGTTGTATCTCTATGGCCATGCCAATTTCATTTGTTGGCTCTCATTTGAAGTCTGTCCCAATCCTCCCTTGAAAGCCTACAATTACAGCATGACTTGATATTAGGTCAAGAGATACAGCAAGCCACCTGTATAGTTACATGATATAGAAGAGCCAAAGTGTCTTAATCATTATGCATGTTGGTTCATGTAAATGCACAATAATGGTGCCTGAAAATTTAATGTAGGGGAGGGAGAACTGTGAAGTAGAAAGGAATGTAGAGGTAGCCACAGTTTTTGCCACAATGTCATAAGAGAGAGACCACACAGTTACGTGTAGGTATTCAAACTTCCAGTGGATAGAGACACCACAGTTCTTTTTGGACACATGTTTCAGATGATGAATGAGATACGTGTATGCATGAGAATGCCTGTGGATATTTTTTTTCTTTAGACTTAGCTTGCTCTAGTCTTTTATTTGTGAATGACAAACAGTTTTGGAGATCTAACTTAAAGTTTGTATCCTCCACCTCTTCGGAGGATGATAGATGATGATGAGTCTTTGTGTGGATGTGTGGCTTCTTTAGTGGACTTTCAACAACTTGGTTTTGCCCTGGTAAATAGTAACCATAGCAAAACTTCTGTGAAAACAATACTAGTATATAATTGTCAAGTTATAAGCGCAAAAATTGGATCAGTAATGCTAGCTGTATGTACATGTGAATTTAAACTTTCTAATGAATGAAAGTGTGACACTGTATATTCATTTCGTGTTATATATATTACAAAAGCCCCATTTCCTTTACAGGCTTAATTCATTCAATCATAATTTTTTACCTAGTTGCATCATATTTTTCCTGAAAAAAATCTGAGAACCAACAACTAAAATTGGTTTGGCTTAATGGAAGGCATTATGGAAAATGCCACAGAAATAGTAATTGGTGTGGAAGTGCTTGAAATGGTAAGCACCACTGATCAACTGTGGCAAGTGCCACTCAGATATGGATGGAAGAACATTATGGGTCAGTTACTGTGCCTTATTGCCCTCTTGTTTCAAACTGATTGCAGTATTATGCATTAATTGCTGGAACGCTTTTGCCCTAGTATCAAAACCATTTTTCTACCATCTGTCTTGCCTTGCTTACTATAAACACATCCACAGACTTGCTGACTTGGTATGTTGCAGAAAACTGTTGGTTTGGCATTGAAAATGAATCTGCAAACCATTGTTGTACACACACCTTAAACAGGTCCTGTAGGCTGTAATAAGCTACATGCCAGCACAGTATTTCTTAACTAATTTTACATCACAGAAGAGGAAGCTCTGGCAGTATTTCTGTCTCCTGATGCCAATGACCTGGAGTTACCTCTGGGCTCATTGATCCGCACCAAGATAATAGCTTTTTCTGTTTTTTTCCAGGACGCTCTGCTATACATTTGTCCTCCTGTTCAACACAGAATTTGTTCCAAAAGACTACTTCAAACTGATTGCCCGTCATCACCAGATCTTAATTTTCTTACTCAGATATTTTTCTTTTTAGTTCCCTTTTTTTATGATCTCTGATGCTTTTCTTCTCTGTACAGTTTCTTCTTTCTTTTTCAGACACACAAAGTTTGATAAACCAGCTATGTACCATACCATCAATTTTAAGCACTATAAAACCTGCAGAAAATCAAATGTGTAGCCTAAGTAAGATAGAACAGATTTTAAATCATACCGATTTCTGGTACTGCTGCTACTCTATCCTTATCCAAAATGTTGATAAATATTCCCTGACAAATAGGTCTGGCATAAGTGCTGATGGCAAAGATGTATTTCTACTTTGTGTTTTATTGCTCCTTTGTCATCTTTCAAGTCAATAAATGCAGCAGTAAAACTTATGATTATAGTGACCTAGTCTATAGTCATAGCTTGGGGGTTTCAGTAATCATTATAAACCCTTGTCAGTATGATAACTGTTGGGGAGTATCCAGAGGTTATGAAAATACCAGGATGTCAAAGATTGATTGCATCCTTCTGGTTGCAAAGCCACTGGCATTGATCATGTCCCAGAGAGTAGGCCGTGTTGTTGCTATCTCCCCTGATGCACTCCCATTGAATCTTTTATCATCCCTGCTGCAGGGCAGCTCGTTCCACTTGGGTTGATAAGTAGGACACTGCCGTACTTGGTAATGAAGCCTATTTCTGGATGCAGGCAGCAGTTATTTGCATGCCGGTTCTGCTGCCCAGGAGAATCAATCTTGGTGTTGGCAAGGCTTCAATATCATCAGATTCTGTGTGACCAACGCTGCTGGTACTCATTTACTTGGAACCCATCAAAATTGTTCGCAGCTTTGATGTCATGGTTATAGTTGTAATTAATGACCAATGCTTGTGGCAAAATGTAGTTCAAGTTGCATATGTGTGGCTATAATGATGAAAACAGGTCAACATCCATTGTGATGTTGTGTTGGTTTCTAGTGTTCAGAAGTCATTCCCACATACGTTAGTGCCATTGTGTAAGACAAAGATAGTACATAACAGATGTTATCCTGTCACATAGCTGGCTAGTGTTATCTGTTTCTGGAGACATACAGTTGACTACTGAGGGTGAAGGATAACACCCCTGTGTGCAAGAGCCTTATCTAGAAAAGATGTAGAAATTGAAGGATGGGTAAAGCATTTTCAATGACTGTATTTTTCTATGTATTACGTAAAAGTATCCTCCTTTGTAATTCTTGTGTTAACCTTGATTGTTGATAAACTCAGGTACAGAGATTTTTCAAGAACAAAATCATTTTGATAAAAGATCTCAGGTTTTTACCAGACTTCAACTTCAAGTCAAGATCCTGTCCTGATCAATACTTGCATGGAGGGTAGAATTGATTTTTTTGTCATCTTTTCCTTAGAGGAAGACTGCAATAAAGAGAACATTGTTGTGGGCAGGTGCATTACTTAGTTTCCCCCAGGAAGATTAGATCCTCCAAAATTCAATAATTATATAATATTATTGAATGATCATATGAATGGTCATATTAGGGTTTATTTAAATCACAGGTAAGGGAACAAGAAACAAAGAATCATGAGTATTTTCTTAAATGTAGATTTCACAACATGTATGAAAAGTTTGGACATGCAATTCAAGTATTTCTACTGGAGGATGTTGCATGTAGAGTCCTTTTTAAGTTGGCAGATGTACTGCATGTGACCTATGTATAACTCCTTGATCTGCTTGATCACAGGCGCTGAACTCCTTCCTGATCTTCATCACACGGAAGGGCCACATCATGTACGTGTCTGAGAACGTCACAAGCCATCTGGGACTCAATCAGGTATGGAAATATTTTAGTCTTTTTTCTGGATGAAAATTATATGGAATATTGGGAATATTGTTAATGCCTTAAGTGCCTTCCAAAACCTAGGAGTAAATTTGTCTCAAAGCGAACATGAAAGGTTTGTCATGCACAGATTTCACAGTGGGAAGCTGATATTAATTTCCTGTTTTCTGTGAACCATAGGCTCCAGCCTTTCCCTCACTGACATCTGCTTCCTCACTTTCCAAGGTTATGACATCATGATGTGGGAGGACTAATTACAGTAAAGCTACCACTGGTATTATTAGATCTGAAGGCCTGGTATCATAGCAACACCCATGTCAGAGGGAACCAGCAATTCAAAAAAATAATGAGAGAATCCTGTGTAATTAAATTTTCTCAGGAGTCAGGGATGACAGAGAAATTCTATTTATAAAGAAACTTTTTATTTTCTTGAGCGGATATTAAAATATGTTTCTACCCAAAGGCTAGGAGTATGAATTATACTATGTTGGCTGAAGATATCACTCAGTTTACCTGACTATAAAAACATGACCCATAAAGTCTGTCAATTTTTTTTAGCAGTTACAAACCATACCTTGTGACTTTCCAGGCACACATGATAGGAGAAAACATTCTGCAGTTCCTCCACCCACGTGACCACAAAACCATCATGGAACAGATGGTTTACAACCCTGAAGACAAGACAACGATCGGGGCTCCTGTCCCCGACCTTACCCACTCAGACCTGCTGGCCATGGATGTAGATGTGGACAGTGACAGCATGAGTGAATGTGAGTATCCTTCCAGCTGAAAAATTACCATTCACCATCTTAAGTCAGTTTTTCTTTAAGGGATATTTTGTTTTGTACAGATGACAGTGATGGCTGTTTACATGTGGCTATCATTTCCTTTTCTCTGCAGTTGATGCTCTGAAAGAGTCGGGCCAGTCCATCACACAAGATCGTTCCTTCATTGTGCGGATGAAATCCTGTCTGCCCAAAAGGCCTGGAAGCAAAGCTCGGTCCTTTGATTACATGGTAAGTCTTGGTATAACTTTGAAAGGTGAAACAAAAAAATGAAACTTGAATAGGTACTTTGCGACTTTCTTAAGTCCAAAAAGGATGAACTAAGTGACTTCAAACAGTCTTGTCATCTCATGAAGTGATTTAATCACCTTTTAAATGGAAAAGCACCTTTTGTGGTTACTATATCTAGCAACAGGGATCTGAGAGTAAAATCACATAGTATTACTATATCATCAGTCATGTAGTTGAATCATGAAGGTGTCTTCCTGCCAGGTTGTACAGTGGTCAGGGCGGCTGAAGCTGCGGCAGGTGGGGAACAAGTACCAGGTGGAGGGGATGACCTGCCTGTGTAAGCCCCTGCTGCCTCTGGGCATCGTGGAGATCAGGATTGAAGGAAATATGTTCATGAGCCGCCACAGCCTGGACATGAGGTTCACCTACTGTGACACCAGGTCAGTCATGCAACATGTTCGTACTGGGACATCTACAGTTTCTGTTTTTGTATGACTAGTGCTGTCAGTCTAGTATAGGGAGTTGGATATGATGTAGTTTGCAAGAGCCAAACCCACACACACTCAATGATCAGCAATGTCACACTCACCCTTTTATTTGTTTCCAGGATCATGACTCTTGTTGGCTATGACCCTGAAGAGGTGGTAGGGAAGACAGCATACCAGTTCCACAACCCTTTAGACGCACACAAAGTCAGCAACTGTCACCAACATTGTAAGTATCTGTATCCAGTATAGCCAGTATAACCACCCTTCGGCGTAACACAGCGGATTGTCATGATTTTTGGTATGTAGTTAGCTGAAGTGATGCTTGACATAATCGGATGACAATTACTGTAAGTCTCTTTAGATTCGCGGGGCCTAAAGTTCGCGGTTTCGGGAAAATGGACAATCCGCGGTATTTTTAGATTCGCGATTTCTCCTTGGCCGTTCCAAGAAGAACTTGTAAAGTGAATGTTTAAAATAATAAAAGTTCGTGTTCCGACATTTATCTCCAAAAATGCGGCGCAAAAATTTGTTTCGTGCACCGCGCGAGACTGCCGGTGGTAAAGCTCTATCAATCTGACGCGCTTGTAAACAATTTTCGTTGTTCGGAAATAAGCGCTAAAACGCTATTTTCCACGACTACACATCGATAATCTAGTGAAGAAATGCATAATCGTAAGAATCTTTCGGGAAAATATATATTCCTAAGCAAATTTATGCCGTTGTCGGCGAGATTTTGAACCCGGAAGTATGCAAAGGTCGCATTCGGTTTTGTAGGCCCACGGTAGCGTTTCTATCCAGCAAAACAAGAAGAAGAAAAAACGCCCGCATAGCAGGGCGCAAAAGAGAATCAACTAACATTTTCCAGATACCAGCAGTTCTATTTTTCATCAAAATATTTGTAGATTTGCCCGATGTGCCCACAATTTTCAAGCGCCCGTGCGCGCATGGCCGGCGTTCTGCACGCAAAGATTTTTGTCCGGCGGTGCACGTTTGACACGGCCAGTGCCGCAGTATCGCGATTCGGTGTCTCATAATATCATTTTTGATATCAGTATAACTAAAGATTTTGGCACTCAGCATACGTACATTTGCTAAGAATAGAATTGATTTGCAGTGATTTGTGGATCGCGTGTGTTGTTTCAGCGTTTCGCTTAATACCGTCGTGAATCGGCCCTAGCTCGTGAATGCATGTGGGGAGGGGGGCACACTTACGCAAAACATATTCGCGGGGAAATAGATTCGCGGTACAAAGGTCCCCGCGAATTCCGCGAATCTAAATATACCGCGGAAATTTGTAGACTTACAGTATGCAGATCAGGAGCTAGTTTGCATAATTAATGAGGAAATTCTATAAATCTGCTTCCTTCGATAATAGGACTATGAAACACCTGTGGCATGTAATTGAGAACGAGAAAAACATCTGAGGATATAGATTATGTAAATGAGGACCTAATTTGCTTAATTAATGGTAAATTGTTATAATTTCATACCGGTAGTTGTAATTGCTGGGAATTTCATACTTTCCGCATTTGGAAGTTAAGTGAAGGTGAACATCAATGAAGATAATTTATTCACATTATAACCTCATTTGCATAATTTATGAGGAAGTGCTAGAATAGCCTATTTTGTTAACATAAGGCTGTCATTGAGTGGAGAATATGATCAACTGATGTAATCCATGCAATTGATGCTCTTATTTGCGAAATCAATCATTATGATTAAAATTGTATAATTCATCAACCGGAAGGGTTAACATCATTTGGCGAAGGTATGAGGTTGTGGAACTCTTGTTCCAAATGTACTTGTTAACAGACTTAAAATTTATTGGAAACCCACCCTACTTTTAAAATTTACATCCTTGCCTTTTCATAGAAATGGATGTCACAAGTCTTTCAGATTATGTTTTGTATTCCATTTTATTTGCAATATCTAGTACTTAACTTGTCTTCATCACAAAAACCTTTTTAGGATCAAACTAAAGATAGAATTGTGCTGTACACATCTACTGGTAGAATAGAAAACGTTGAGGTTGTGGTGCATTCCACCAAGCATAATTATACATTGTTGCGTGAAGATAATGTCTGTTGTTGTTTGTAGCAAGTAAGTTTAGTTTACTAGAATGTCTCTCCATTTTTCATTAGGACTCTGAGGCGATCAAAATAGATCCCTTTAAATGTCACAGCCTCTTCCTGTGTTAACATGAGTGGAAACTGAAGGTGGTGATTGAATTAGTGCCAGGAGGTAGGCTGGTAATCTGGGTATGTAGGAGTGGTGGAGACAGCATCATTACTTCAGTATATGGGCATACCACACATTTTTCAGGGATAGTTAGCATGCTAAGTACGTTCCACATCCTGGTCTGTACCCACAGTATGAGAACATAAGAACCTTGACCTAGATTTGAGGGAGTTACTTGGGGTCATGCGCTGTGCAGCCTGAATTGTGGGTGACAAGAGGCTGGGTGAACCAGGGTCTGTCACCTCAGATGACCGGTAACCTAAGTACTTAGCAACACCCACATGTAGGCCTATTGACATTACCCATTTGTAAGTAAGTGGCCCACCACTGGCTCCTGCACAACAGTGGGGATCAAGTTGCTTGCTGTCATAGCAGTGAGTGAGATTTACTGCACAGCTACATTTATACTCAAGATTTCGATTGGTGTGTGAATTTCTAAAATTACTTTCTTCTGAGTGGAACTTGCTATATCCCTTTGAGTGCCTCTCTCACCTCTATCAATCAAAAGTTGTGTCCAATACATGTGTCTTGTAATTGACCAGAGGCGCCAACGAATGACCTCGTGAAATTGTTCTGCCACATGGTATACTAGAGTTAGAGCCACAGAATGCAAGGAATTACCAGCAGGCTTTTAGTCAGCTGAAGTTGCTTTGGAGAAAAATTAGGTGATTATCTCCCATGTTTGGAAAATTTCCTGTGACTTGTCCCATTATCCATGTTAGGCAGATCAGTTGACTGTAAAGCAGATGGTCTAACAAGTAGGTCAGGTTGGATGTGTTTTTACCTAGCTTAGTCATGCATCACATGATGTCACTGACATGCTTCTTACAAAGCAGCGGTTACCAAGTAATCACCAGGCCTTCAATAAACTGGAGCAAACAGAATGATGGTTTGTTTTTAGCCCTCTTGAAGAAGGTTATTTTGATTACAATTGCCCTTGTCAAGGCATTCCCTGATTTAGGCCAAGGCCAAAGGCTTACAATATAGCTAGCCTTCACCTCACCTGACTCCCTGCTATGGTACTTGTCCTCAAGTCACCGCTGTAGCTGCAGCCGAGCAGCAGTGTGTGCAGGTAACACTGTTTAGCTTGAGATACAAGGTGGGAAATAACATGGGGATTCTCTCTTCTTTTTTTTTTGGTTTCAGAAAGTTTTAAGCAGTTTGTACATTGATGAATAATTATATATTTGGTACAAGGAGTTCTTTACTGAACCTTGCATCATGTAAAACCAGAGTTCTGACAGGGCCTGTCTCCTTTTCTTTAGTGTTAGCATACTTGAATAGCTGGGTTTGGCCTCTTGGGCTTACAAACTCAGTGTGATGAGCAGATCAAATAAGATTTATTTCCCATGGTAAAAAGTGTAGTGACAGGCTCTAAATTGACTTGAATTTCATTTTTTTCAATATATGGTCCAGATATTGAAGGTGTATTTCCTTCCAAATTTTCCATTAGTCATATAATGTGATGTCACATGTATGTTGCCATGTGAGTGCCATGTTGTCTCTGTTCACCTAAATGGGTCAAGGTCACTACAGTGCATAGTCACCCCCCTGAATAAATAAAAAGAAGGGAGGGCACAGCAGGTCATGGACCTCCAGTGTGGCCAAAGTACATATATGTGCACACAGGCCTTTCCCGATTCCAGAGTAAGTGGAAATCAATGCTAAGCTGTTCACAGATTAGATGTATGGTCAGGTCAATGAAGGGCAATTTGCTTGGAAAGTGGGTCATCAGATTATCAAAGGTTGGTTAAATCTAATTTTCTCTTTGTCTAATATTGTAGTTGTAACTGCTTAATGCTAATATTCATCATGGTCAGAGAAATAGGAGCACTGCAATGTCTTTTGATTAGACAACAGTACTCGATCCAAATTTGATTGCACCTGTGAAAATTGGGGTGAAGTAAGTTCAATACAGGACCTTATTGGTAACTTACACTATGATGTGACCTCAATGAGAAGTGGTAAATAAGCCATCAAGGTTGAATATACCGGTAGCTGCAATGTGTGTGCTGTGAAGCACAGAGTGATGCTAACACAGTGTTGTTGCTGTCTCCCTCTGCAGTGATCCATGCTGGGCAGTCTACCAGCAAGTACTACCGCTTCATGGGTAAGCTGGGTGACTGGATCTGGATGCAGACCAGAGCCACCATTATCTACAACACAGGCGGGGATGCACAGTACGTGGTGTGCATGAATTATGTGGTGAGTGAGAACGAAGCGAGGCGAGCCACGGTGGAGGAACAGAAGAGTCTGGAGAAGTCTGGCCACCCCACAGGCTGTACCTGCGGGGAGGCCATGTCCCCCGTCCCGCTCTCCCCACAGAGCTCCATCAACTCCCCAACACCATCCATCCCACACTCCCCAGGTTCTGCCACCCACTCTCCTGGCAGCATGATCAGCATGAGTCCTGGCAGTTCTAACCTTTCCTACTCACCAGGACCATTCTCTGTGCCACCAAGCCAGCCCCCATCCACACCCTGTCTGCCCAGCCCAAGCAGCTCTATGGCTGCCTCTCCGGGTAGTGCTCCCTCCCCGTCTGCCACCTGTTATAACACAAAGACTGTGCCCGCTGTTCCACCAGTTAGCCCAGAAAGTAGTGTACAGTTCAGTCCTGGGTTTGCACAAAAGTCTGAGTCACAGAACAACATGGCTACAGTCTCCTCCCCCACCGCTTCAGTCGACTCTCCGCAGTCTGTGTCCTCCTCCACCTCTGCTGACTCCCCCAGCAGCATGAACAATGCCTCGTCATTTCAGTGTGATGAGTCCATGGATGTGGACAGTGCTCCAGACTCCACCCAGGCAGACCTGGGAGGGTTCAACAATAGCCAGCCCATCTGGAGAAATGACCTTGGCAACAGTACAAACATGCAGAGGGAGGCAGACTTGCCAGGCTATGGGATGCAGGCTCCTAAGGTTGAAGCTGATCTGCAGGGCAGTTTTCAGTGTGGGCAACAGAACTCCATGGGGGTCCAGAATGGTCAGTTTGGGAACACAAATGGACGGGGGCTGGAGGGAAGCGAGTTCTTCCCAGAAGACGACGTAGACATGATATTTGAGGACTTGTTGGACATTGCTCAGTCTGAGTCACAAGGTGATGAGAAAATGGCCGCCAACATAAACTCACCTAACGAGCCATGCCAGCAGCCCCCAACAAACACACCAACAGACCAGATCCTGAACATGCTCCAGTCAGCTGCATCACAGGCCTTTGCCTCTGGGCACGGGTCAAGCCCAGTCGTCATCCAGAATGTCTTCTTGTCATCAGGTGTACAGGCTCCAAACATGCCACACATAGCAGGAGCTGCCACCATGGTCAACCAGCTGGTGTCAGGTCTGACTGCCACGGCTATGAAAGGCAGAACAAGTTACCCCACCATCACTGACGTGCCAGACTCTAACAGCACCCTGCAACAACAGGTCAAACAGGAAGTCCCACAGGGCATGACAGAGCTGGAATATATGGTCAAATTGGCAGAGCTGGAGCAGCAACAGGCCTTCAACAAAGTGCCTACAAGTGCACAGAATGCATCACCAGCTATCAGCAGTGGTGTGAATGTCTCCTCCATACCCAACATCCCCAACTCTGTTTCTGCCACTGTGCCAGAATTCCCCAGGGTGTCGGGAGTACAGATGCTGACACCAGACATGGGCAATGTTATCAGCACCATGGCCAACACCCACGGCAGCACCCTGACACACAGAAACATCACCGCTGATCAGCACACTCCAACCAGTATGGTGAACAACTTCAGTAGCATGTCTGGCATCCAGCAACCAAGACTGAACTCCAGTAGTCCAGCTGTTGATAAGGCATCCACTCAACAGTCCTGGAGCCCTGCTGTAAATGTGTGCAACATGCCCACCAGCGGTCATCAGCCTCTTATCGTTAACCAACACCAAAACAATGTCTCAGAAGTGTTGAAGAATGGCTGCAGTGGTATCAGTACATGGGCTAGTGGACATCCAGTCACCATAACTTCTACCATGTCGGCACCCTTAACAACTTCTCAGTCACCTAGAGTTGCCAGCCAGGTCTACCCGTTCTGTGACAGAAGCAGTCCCATGCCAGCTGCTCATGTCCCCCCTGTGCAGCAGCCCTGCAGACCAGCCATGGCAGCAGACAATGTTGCAGTACATTCTCAGTCGCCAGGGTCTGACCAGCTGACGAGTAACAACACCAACGGGCACATCAGCGAGTCTCTCAAGAGGAAGCATGCCAAGCACCCCCTCCTCACCAGCCTGCTGACTGGCAAGAGGAGAACCCTGGATGAGTATCGTGGGGCTCAAGAGAACTTGGAGAAGATGCTTGCTGACCCTGAGAAGACAAGGCTCCTTGGTCCTGGGAGAACCCAGCTGCTGTCTCAGCTGATCCACAGTAGTAAGAATGGCCAGCAGCTGGCACACAAAGACGGGCAGTCCTCCCCACCCCAGGGGCAGTGTGCAGGGCAACAGGGCAAGCCAGATTCTTCTGTCACCGAGAAAATGTCTAGGCTGGAGATTGTGGAAGCCAGAAAGCAGTCCAAAGCAGCCAAGGCCCAGTTGCTGACAAGCATGCTTCTCTCTGAGGACACCCCACCCAACTCCCCTGCAGCTCCTGGGCAGACCATGGAGACTGGGGGGAAGTTCCATGATGAACCTGTGGATCTGACGGACACCATAGATCTGGACCCACTGTCTCCCTTTACACAGGAGATCACCGACATGGCAGCATGCCTGTTGGAAGAGTATGATGGTAACCAGGAGCCTACCGTCAACACCAGCACTGACTCCAACTTCCTGCCAGGAATGCTCAGTGCCACTGACAGTATCGATCAAACCATGTTGTACATAGACACTGCCAAGCAGCAGCCATTGGAGGAAGTGGTCCCTGGTCAGAGGAAGAACTTTGAGTCTGAGTTAGATCATGCCCAGAGATTAGCAGAGGAGTCTCAGCTCAAGAATCTCCTGAAGCAGTCATTCCACCAGGCCTTCCTGGACATGGAGACAACTCATGCATGAAGTCAGTGATGTATGATTGTATATACTGTGCAGCTACTAGTGGGCTTTGATGTGTCAGCACACCACATGAACACTACTGCACCATCCTTTTGTACTGCAGAAACTTTTTGTACCAGTTGTACAGTGATCTTGAGCTTAGCGTCAGATCGTCTTTGTCATCTGCATGTTCTGTTATCATCCATCAATGTCATCAAGTTATTAGGGACACCTGTACTCTCACCAGTGTGAAGAAAAAAAATTCAATTGGCAAAGAAAGCTGCATGTAGGGAATGGTGATTGATGCAGTGAAGCTCACGATCGGAAAATGTTGCAGGAGTAGGCACAAAGTGCCTACAGAATTGTGGAAGTAAAAAAACAAAAGTTTAATGTTTGTATGATTGAAGTCAGCACAGAAGAGTACAAAGTACTGGAGAAATGCGTGCTGGAAGTTTTCTATGAAGCATGCTATGTAAAGTGTTGTCATTGTGTATGAACCGATGTATAAAGTTAAAGTACCAGTCCAGTCCTATGCTGAATCGCAGATATAGGTGGCCCGTCAAAACTTGGATTTTGGCATGTACAAATTTTGAAAGTGTGGTCCCCTTTTTGATAAGAAGATTCAAAGTGAGATGTTGGTTAGTAGAACTCATTCCGTGCAGCATCCCCTTAGATTCATACATTTACTCCAGACCTGGCCAAAATGTGATTCTTCTTCACTGTATTGTTATTAGTTCCATAGATTAATCAGTAGAAATGAAATTGATTACTTCTTTGTGACTTTAACACACATGATCATAAAAGTAAAATGTCAGACATCCTCATACTTCTCCTTAACATGTATGTTTTGAGACCATTTTGATCCCCTGAGCAGTTCATCAAAAGAGATTTCCACACTCCACAGTTCTGGGGAAGGGCAGTTGTTTGTTGACGCTAACAATGTTTCCCTTGTCCCAGCAGTACATGTACACCGTGGTCATGGTTTGGCAACATGGTAGATGGTATCAGACATAACCATCCCAGGTTTAGTGTTCAATACTAACTAAGCCTAACCCCAGACTAATGTCACAAGATCGTTGTTCAATGTAGACAAGTGTTTGTCAACACTTAATGGGGAAATAACTACTGTAACAGCTCTTTAGATGTTTGTGGACTTGAACAGTGATAGATTTCTTACCATGTCTTTTCTACTTGTGGTCAACATGCATTATTTTGATCTACAATGTACCTTGAGTCTGAATTGGGACAGATGTTTTGTAGTCTTGTACATACTGTTAACCTTTATTTTAGACATAGTGGTGTATATTTTCCTGTCATACAAGACAAGCTAACTTGGGATGTGGTTGGGGGCCAGGGTAGCTATAATGATTGTACTTAAATGTGATAATGTTGTGAGAAGTAGGAGTAAACTGTGAAAGTGGCTTTCATAGAGATAACAGTAAGAGTAGGGCTAAGATGTGTTTGCTTTTTAAAAGCTTGTACATTGCATTTGGTTTGATGCTTTAATGATTGTGATAAATGACACCCATAAATTTGTTCAAGTGAGACACAGTGTAGCAATGTGCTTTTCCCACTGTCATCACATCAGATTTTGTACTGGTAGGGGAGGAAATCCTGATTCATGGCAATTATGCTCAACAAAAAGCATCTTTATTCTTCTTAATCATGGCAACAAAATTGACATTGAAAGAAAGCTGGAAGCTGGAATTTATGCATGACTCATGTTCCCACTTTTACACACTTTTTTTTTTGCTTATTTACAATAGCAATCTCAACAAGCACTGTAAAATGATGCTTGTCCCGTTAGGTTGTTGTTGTTATCATGCACAAGTGCAGTTTGTTTGGACAGCAGAAAAAGTCACAACTTTTCATTTTGTCTAGACAGCCTACACAGAATGTAGCAGTCATGAGCCTGGCTCTATCCACAGACATGTGGACAGTTTCCTTTGTGTACTGGATGTTTTCTTGGCTCGATAAGTTCTCATAAGAAATGCCAAAGACTATAAAATAATGCAACCATTGCAGCTTGATGAAGTTCAGGCTATTTCTGTGATGATGTTCTATCAGATTGAAGGGTGAAGAACAAGCAATGTGAAAATAGTTGTATGCACGTGTATTATGTGATGATGGTACATAACCAGTCTTAATTGACAGACAAATGGCATGTATTTGTTCAGGCCATACCAATCCATTTACTTGTGTCAGACTCTGTCGTTGGATGATAGAGAAATGGAAAAGATTTCTGACAGACTAGTACATGTAATTACCATGTTATAAAATAACAAAAGAGGAGAGTTTACATGACTTGTTAAATCTCATGTAGTACAACTCCAAAGAAAGAAAGACAATAACTTTTCTGCTTTTTGTGTGGATTTTAAAAAGTTTTAGCAAGAAAGCTGAGAAAATAGCAAGTAGAATGGTCTGGCCTTGACAACTACATTGCACATGTACAACATGTATGATGGATTTCAATAGAATATGCCTTTGAAAGGCATGCCTGTTTTTAGCCAATTAGTGAAGAAGTTTTATGGGGTTATGATACAATGTACCAGGTAACCTTCAATGAAATTTGATGAACTTATTTTGTCTGAGTTATAGTACATGAAAGTTATATGGCGGGATGAAATAATAAGATAGGTTTTATGTTTTATACAAAATAAGTATTTATTGTTGAATAACTGTCAATACCAGACCCCTTAAAACTCCTTCCAGCTCACATTGTACCTTTGATCAGGTGATTTATTTGAAGTTAATTATAGATACCTCAATTTTGACATGAGTGAGAAATATTTTTGTACAGGAATTGAGTAATTTCTGTTGCACCTGGAAAGGTAACGTGTAATTATGTATAATGTATTCCTGCTCTCTCAAGCAGCACACACCCTTCATAATGTCTGAGACAACTGTCCTTTTGTAGCAGATGGTGAATAAAGTGTTGATGGCTTAAAGTCTGTGTCTGTCGTTTCAGGAAACACAGTCCTAGTAAGATTAGGAATTAGAAGTTGTCAACATGCATTAACTTGGGTCTGGCACTCCTTGGAACACATGGGGAAATTGACTTTTTTGTTCACAATTTCAGTTCAATTGTGGGTTGTAATGTTTCTATCTTTTAAACAATTAGTTATACAAGTTGTTCACAGAGGATGCCTACTGCCCATCCATCCCAAGCCTACAGCCCATACCGTTCATTGATTAGGATAGTCTTTTGGGTCATTGATTAAGAAAAACCAAACTGACCACCTGTGAGTGTCCCGGATACTCACTATCTAATCTGTGGCATCTGTACTCAGCCAACTGGAGCAGAACAAGCAGGGCAATGACCCCACACTGGTGTTTCTGCACATGTACTGTGCTGCTGCCATAAAGCTTTCAATGCCAGAGGGCATGAAGCATGAATTTTTAATGCAGAGCATAAGCTGGGTCTTCTTCCGGTCCTTGTGGGCATGTCTATAACAGATGAAATGGGGTGGGAAATCCTGGGCCTTCATTTACCAGTCCCCAGGTGTGCTTCAGCTTTTGGAACCCTCTGCTGTATTCCACACACACATGATCTTGACATGCATGTCTACAGAAAATGGGCCACCCATCAAATACAACTGCAAGTCAGATGCAGGCATCTTCCACTATAAAGAAAGATGGATGAGTGACAATACAAGATCATACAAGATGACTTTATTGGGAGTTGCAGTGTTGTGTAAGTTAAAAATTAATTTACATTGTACAATTACCTGGTAAAAATCATAAAAAACTTAAAAAGGAGATTACATGCAGTTAACAGTTGCTAATTGTCAAATTTATATGCAACACACACAACTGAATTTCTTTCAACTCCTGCTACTTTGCTGTCATCACTGTGTGGTTGCCAGTCCCCTCGGGGAAGGTAAATATAACTTATGTACATTAGAAAGGTAGTGTGACGATCCTGATCTCTGTCTACTCCACACACTGCCCTGCAAAGCTGGGAGAAAGTCACTGCTATCCACAGGCCAGGTGCAAAGGATTATGTTACTTTGGAAATGGCTGATGTTCATAAACACCTACCTTCCAAAAGCTTTCAAAAATAACCTTGACATATACAGATGTTGTTTCATTTTTCTTTGTGTTTTAAATCACAATATCCAAAATACATGTATGCAACGTTTTCCAACCTACAGGTCTGCTTGAAATTCAAATGTGTATAGCTATGGAGTGAATTCAAAAGTGTCAGAATAGATATTTGAATTCAAGTTTTTCTATCAAAAAAAATGTGCCATAAAGCTAATGGTCTGTAACCTTGATTCCCTGTAAGTGATGTATGAACATATTTTGCTGATGGATACATGGTAGATTCGGTTAGTCAAAAGGAACAAGTAAACAAGCTCACTGACCAAAATCATCAAAGCACTTTAGATCCTTTTTGTAACAGGCAACAAAGCAAGGATACCATGTGTATTCAACAGTCATCATTAACGAAGGACTACCAAGAGTATGCAACATGTACCCATGGCTTTTCACTTTGATGCATTGAGGGAACATTGTATCAATACAAAGCATATTTGGCTGCTGGTAAAACATGATATTACTACATCCAGCTGCATTCATTTCAGTGGCTCATTAGCTAGCTAATCATCAACCAAAGAGGCATTCATATTTCTTTATCAGTCTGGATCAAAAGAAGCAAAAAAAAAAAATACTGGTCAATGCATTTTTCATGTTCCAAAATGGTATGCAATCAGCAAACCAGCAGCCCATAAGGACACCATCTAAGTATACCTACATGTGTATTTGTTACCTCATGATCCTTGTGTAACATACATGGTCCTAACCATAAAACTTTTCCAAGTTGATTATGGTTTTTATTCAAAATATTAACATGAATATTTAAACTTGATACATGCAGGAAAGAGGTCTGAGGGGAAAATTCCTGAATAATGTTACCAGCACAAAGAAGCCTTCCAGCAATTTGACAAACCTCATAGTATTTAAAATAAAGAAAAGTATCACATTGCAAGTTGCAGCTGCTTCTTTTTGAATGTCCAATTTGGATCTAACCTTGGCCTACTTAGATACAGCCTTGTTTGCTTTTTTTCTCTCATTGCCTACCGCAGCATCTTTTGATGAAGGGATTAACAGCCTTCCCGCAACAGCGTCCAAGTCATTTGTCGTAATTTGCTCCCCATTGCCAGTGTCCAATTTTCAATTGCGTTTGACCTTCGAATGGGTAACTTTTAAGTCGTTGCTGCATTTTATTGCAAGCCTCCTTTAAATGGACTACATGGTGTGTCAGGGGGGATTTAGATGACTGATTGTATCTGAAATAAAATGGAGAAAGTTACCCAAAGGGTAATGCTACATGAATCTTGTGTAGAGGCCGAATACACTGTAATCAGCTGCCAGACACAGCTGATAAAGGAAACGACTTGTGTAGACTTGTGTGATCACTTTAATGATAGCTCACATTTTTACAATCAACAGTCTGGGGTTAGTCCATCAAGTGACCACGACCCCTGTAAGTACTTAACAAGTGGATAGGATGGAGAGCTGTACCAGGACTTAACAGGTGGGAAACACTAAAGGTTACTGGTTCAGGAATAATTTCATGACAGCCCTCATATACATGTCATATTTTTATATACTTAATAACTGCGTAGTTATAGTCTTGTGTAATTAGACACCTACACATGCAGATTGCAGTTCATGTAGTGGTAGCTCACCTGTGTACAGCATATTGTACTTCAAGACATCTTGATCCTACAGAATTCCAAAATGTTAATCAAAGGCAACTTAAATCTTTTTCTACTAACTAGCTGCTGATAAACATGAACTTATAATCCTGTGGAGCAGCTTCTGCTGACCATGACAAACCAGTAAAGACCACTGCTGACGCCTGGTCATGTTTCCCCCCTTCTCTTTGGTTAGCAGTTGTTCTGTTTCCTGTAAACTGTTTCTGTATTTTCCCATGCAGCACCTGGCAGCTGCAGCGAGCAGACTCCTCCAGGCTTGTGGCAGGTCTGACAGCTTCTCTGTGGGAGACAAAGGAGGCAGTGGTTGAACAGAATAGGATTACTACAACCACATCATCTGTAACTTTTATAGCCTCACAAAGCTTTCTGACATACATGTATTTGAAAATTAAGACTTGTGTACAAGGGTCTGATAATTGTCCTTTGTGCTTTTTTGTCAAAATGACTTTGTAATATAAGCAAATTCATATTTTACTCTTAGACAACTTTTCCATTGATTAGGTGAGTTTACATTGTCATTGATTGTAATTTCATCAACTCCTTCCAAAGGATTGTAACAGATTAGGTTTGACCAATATTAACTATAACCCCACATTGACTGACCTGTAGTTTTCATTGATTACATATTGTTCACAAAGCTTGTGGATTGTGAATTTGCTACAGCCTACCATAGGAAAGTGACCTTTCATCCTCCTCTTCACTGTCACAGTCACTCCATCCTTCCTTCTCTTGATGTTCCCTGAACTCTCCCTCAGTCATACCCAGAACCTGTCATCACAAGTAAACCTTGGTTACACACAGTTACAACAGTACTCACAAGCAAATGTTAAGACAAACAGATCAATGGTGGCAGTACTGCTTTAATGATCTTTCAATTATATATTGGTATTTTATCCACAAATCATGCATGTATTCTGATGTCTTAATCTATGGCATGCTAAGTTAAAAGCAGAAGCATATAATATTCTGTATTTTGGTATGGCATTGACCCTGCATAAATGACATTTTTTTCTTCATAAACTATTACTGAGTAGTATCAAAATTCAGAATAAAGCTTACATTGCTACATAGTACAGATCCTTCCTAGTCTGTCCTAAGTGTTAAAGCCTACCTTTAAGGACTCATAGACTTCCTCATCAGTCAGGATTCCTTCCATCCCTGCAATAAAGGATCCAGTCTTGCTCACCACCCCCTGGGAAGGGCAGAAGTGAAACTAGTTAATATGTTCTCGCAGGGTGTGCCTGCAGGCTGATTGTTCCTGGAACCCAGGAGGGACACCTGTATGTCATGTAGGTGATGTAATAGCCTCACTTTCATTTCATTTTATTTTTATTTACCCAGGGTAAACATGTCGCCGCAAGGGCGTTTTTCAATGTTCCCTGCGGACATATACATTTACAAAATATACTTATTAGCTTAAAATAACAAACAGGAAAACAAAGGTACAATTAACTAATTGCAAAAATAACATATTGGTAAAGTGCTTCAAAATCATACGGTAAACTAATAACTTATATGAAACAAGCGAATAAAATGCAACAAATGAAATAAATAAAGAAGGTAATGGAAATTTGCATATCAATGTTACAAAACAAAAGTAACGGTTACTATGTTGCGAGAACATTCTGGTTATACAAACGCTTAAACGAGGCGACGGAAGCTGCTGTTTTCAATGTAGATGGGAGAGCGTTCCAAAGAGCTGCACCAGTACTGGACAAGGATTTCTTTTTGTATTGTAGATGAGCCTTAGGCAGTTGTAGTCCCCCCTGTGCTCTTAAGCGTGTATTGTATGAGTGAACTTCCCTGAGCTGTGTGAAGAGATCCGAGATGTGAGGAGGGGACAAGCCATTCAGAGCCTTGAATACAAGCACTGCTTTGTTCCTCTTGTGTAATTCAATCACAGGTGTCTAACCTAGATTGTGCAGTATAGTGTCGATAGGTGTGTAGCGATTGCACCCCAGGATCACCCTTCCTGCCCTGTTCTGTAGTTTCTGAAGTTTGTCTATACATTCCTTGCTACCTTGATCCCAGACAGTACTGCAGTATTGTAAGTGGGGAAGGAACAGTGATGTGTATATTGTCAGCAAGGCTTCTGTGTTAATAAATGGTTTCAAAGACTTCATGATGCCAATTGTCTGAGACCTCACATCCTGCTTCCATCAATTATTAGACTAAAGACCATGTTAATTTTATATCTTCTACGAGCATCAGAAGGTATTAGAGGACTTTATATGACTTTTTGTTTATTATAAAAAGAACTTATAAAATTATATCATAGGTGACTAAATTCACATGGGAACACGAGTAGAGAGTGTCTCCCATAAAAAGTGGCATTACAGAGTTTTCTTGCTAATGGCAACCCAGCTGAGTTTACCAGCAAGTATCTAGTGTGTATCTGTTGGCTTTCAAGTTAAAGCCATACAAATGGATCCAGATAACACCAGTAAGCCAGCCTTCCTATGTCCCTTCTTGCTTTTAGCTGATTTATCAATGGCTTAAGTAGGACAGGTCACCAGGGGGATTTAGATAACTTGGTAATTATCTAATGTTGTCCTGTTGTCCTAGTGGTTGCCTTAATAACAACTGTGTTTCAACACCATGAAGTTACTCTGTCCATTCCTATCAACGGTGTAAATCAAGGTTCAGTACCACAGATCTCAATTCTTCTATCTGGAAAATCATACAGATACTGTATTTGTGTTTCCAAACTTTTTCAGATTGTTGGCTATACAGCCATAAATTAGAGTTGCGTAACACATGTTATATATGCAAGGTATGAAAGTCCATTCTCTTGGTCTTCTGATCTTGTACTTTTAGGCATCAGATAATGTTGAAATATGGATCCTGCTTCAGGACCATAGTGACCTAAATGTCCTGTGTCAGACATCTAATCCCTCCTGGCAATGTAACAGATTACAGCAGTTGGGATGAGAAAGTCGTTCCCTGATAGGAAGGTGATATGTTTGTGTAAGTGTCGCCCCCTGTCAGCTGTGCCTCCTATTAAATCAAGCACATTAGGTGAGAGTCAACCTCACCTGAAAGTCAATAGCCATTCAGGCTTACAAGCAATTTGCAGAAAGCTGGTCCCAGGATGGCAGTAAGGTTTGACACTGTCTGCATAACCCTGCCCCTGATGGCACATGAAGAGGAATCTAGGTCACCCAGAAACAGCAGCAAGAAGCTGAATCATGGCTGAAGCCAGCACTCAGCTGACCTATTGGGTCCTTCCCTAATACCCGGTATATAAACTGTCAAAACCTTTATGGCCAGATATCGTTGGACACTGTTTATAATCCATTCTTACAAACATTTTGAATTACAGAGCCATTTCCTGCATAAGTAATCCAGCACTGCATTATAGCAACTTCATTATCCGACTTCACATTAATCACTCTCCCTGTTGCTGTTACAATTAGTATTCCATTGTTATCATTGATTAGTAGTTTGCTCCTGGTCCATGGTTACATTGTAAGAGCTTTGGAGATCATCTTTAACTGCAGTAATATCTGACAGCCTTCAAATATGCATGGTTCATCAGACAGAATAATCTAGACCCGGATGAGCCGTGCAAAAGTTTGCCCAGGTGAACAGACCCTCTGGACAGTGGACAATAAATCCAATAGCTAAGGGGCAGAACAGATATGTAAAAGGGAAAAAGTTAGTGCACAATTTTAGTTGGAGGCCCTTAATTGAAGGATTGTCCAGCAATGTTTGAAGGGACCATTCTGAGAAGCCCTGCTTCTCCCTGAAGAAATTTATTCTTAGGTTTGAACACACACTTTGATCCAAGTTACCTTCAGCGCTAAGAACATTAACTCTGGTCCTGCAGTAACCTTGGCCCAGCTGCAGTGACTTCACAATTAATTCATTACACACCAGGTACTGTACATCACAGTGCATGCAGATGTCACACTTCAGCCACGGACAGGGACACAGCGTGGCATTGCTGTTTCTTTACATACATTACTTGACTTAGTAACATTTAAAATGTTCATGCGACATTTACCATCAAACATGATAACTTAAAAAGATTGTTTTTCAGTTCTCTTGAAAAAGTTTTAGTTTTTCATATTTGAATCTATAACATTTCTCATGAGTCAAAGTTAATTTACAAAAGTTTGGAATACACTAGCTGGTGGAAATCAGTATCTGCAAAAGAATGTACAGTCTTCTGCCAATCAACATGAGCTGATTAATCGAGCATATCTGTATTTTTGCTGTAAGTGATCAACAAAGGAAATATTAGAATACCAGGAATTTTTTTAATGTTTGGATCTGATTAATTATTACATGAATTTCATATTATTATTTATGAAATGTTATTTGTCTGGACCTTCCTTCAAAACAGGTCATACTCCCCTGGTAGAATGAAATGGAAACTTCAGTGTGATGCAGTGCCTTTATCCTTAATCAGTGCCAGTGTAATGTCTGCACCATACCCAGGGACAGTGACATTACAGTCACACCAAGGTGGTCCAGCTGACAAAATAGATTGTGCCACAAACTGGGCCATATTTCGATGTTCTTTGTTCAAGCTTTAGCTCCTGTAGTTGAGAAAAGTAAGCCCATGGCTGAGATTAGCTGACTTTTACTTTCTATAGGGAAGTGATTGATGATGTCAAAGTTGATGTCCATGCCGTGTTAGTGTCATTTCTCTTGAAGTTTGTAACTGTTAAATACTCTGCAACACACTGCAAGGTCATGTGTAATTGGGAGAATCTATTGCCTGATAAAAGCAGAAGAATCAACTCTACTCAGATCCTT